CGCTGTTAAAGCACTGCAACGCTAATCGTGCCCCCTGGAAGTTCATTGCCATTGGGTGACCTTAACAGCATGGGCCCCTGAATGCGCAGCCCCAGCAGTTATACCGTGCGGGCCGGGGCCATGTTCCAGGGGTCCACAGGACGGCCAGGCCCTCTGGAGTTACGAGCCCGATCGCAGCTGCGACCCCTGCGACCACAGTAGTTCCACCACTGCCTGAAGCTGTTCCTTGCAGCCACGGTCATTGTCTTTCTGCTAGTCCTCTTCAGCTCCATGTACTTTGTTTCTCAGGAGCCACGTCAGTGCTGTGCTTTAGCACAAATGTGAGATTATCACAGGTCTATGAAGGATCCTGACAGAGCCTGCAAATATCGATGTCTGAATCTGACAGCCTCCGCTTGTGATTACTGGTGCGATTTGGTAAAAGTTGATGATTTTTTTTTGTCAACTTTGGTCATTCCCAGGCTTGTCCATAAGACAAAGTAGTTCTTACTTTGTTTTATGGTATTTTTAAACTGAGTTGGGATTTCTGTGAAATTCCAATGCAGTTTGTATTAGTATTTAATAAAAAATGTATCTTTATGAAATAATGAAAGGTGACAGATCCGCATTAAGCTAAAATGCAGAATTTAAACTTAATTTTGAAATTCTGTTTGAATTATTGATGTTTTATGTTTTAGGCATCCATAAAGCAAGACAGACCTATTACCAATTAGTTAAATAGTGGTACAGGTAGACAAGAATAAAAAAGGCACATTCAGAACATTTAGACTGTATGACTCTAGAATGGTTGATCCTCGGAATATGGTAGATATATCATATTATGAGGTTATCAGGCTTCGTCATCATTGGGTGAGGACACAGAGCAACATAATAGAAATAGACCTGAAATACCAATAGCGTAAAATTCTAAAAAAAATGATATATCGGGTCAGCAAAAGCTACAAAACAGGAGACTATATGGATTTTTTTACCTTACTTTATGGCTCACTGCTTAGGCTATTTTTGTATGATCTTATAGCTTGTTATGCATTTTTTTTTAGAAATTCAAAAATAAACTATGGAATTATCTAAACCTAATCTTTGTGAAATTAGATTCCAAAGATAAGCTTGCTTCCCCAAACTAGTGAAGGAAGCTGAATCTGTCACCAGACATTGAGTTTGACAGATTTCTGGCATTATCGTTGATGGCAGAAATTTGTTCCAAGGGAGATCAGCATAATTGCAAAATTATATAGTAATAATGGTATGTGGTTTAGGTTTGATTATCTATCTATCTATCTTTCTTGGTCTGTCTGTCTGTCTGCTTGCTACATGTCTGACATTTATTGCATAAACAGGGCAAATCTTTTCTTTATGCATGAGGAGTCTGTCAAAAACTAATTTGTAGACACTGATTTTACATACTGAACAAGACAATAGATGTCTTGTGAGTTCTTTGTAGGGTGACGAACATGCAGGCAGTTGTTTGTCACCACTTGTGCCTGCCATTTGGAAGCATTATGCAGAAGCAGTCTTCAGACCGGCATCATGGTAGTTTGCATCCAAGGCTCATTGATGCATGTAGGTATTGAAGGTAAGCCCGTCTGGTCCAATCACAGAGAAGAGCTGCTGTAGCTCAAACTGCCGAAAAACATAATGCTGGCCATGATAAAAAAAGTGTCACAACACATAGTAAAAAAAAGATGGAGCAGGGCTGCGCCAATTCTAATAAAATAGTCTTAGAGAGGTTAGGAGGTCTCGCTAGAGTAGCAATAGATAATCAGGGAAACTTGATAAGACGTATTCTCTTCAATGGCACTGGATACGTCACAGGGTGTTAGTTCGTATATATGAAACAGAGAAGAGTCAGAAAGCAACCAATAGTGCAGTACGTCTAGAGTCCAAAAGTGCAGTAAGTAACAAGAGGTAGAGAACTCACATTTAAAAGAGCTATGGCCAGCTCTGGTGTGAAGAGCATACAGTGGTATAATCCCCGCTAATGGGTTGTGGGAAGATGTATCCGTCAGCACAGTCTGGTAATCCAAAGCTCCCAAGGGAAGATAAAAGGCAACAAAAGTGCTCTCAATTGTGATACAATAGAGTATAAAAGAGTGATAAGTGTAATACTTAGAGTAGAGCAGAAACATTGCTCTATTGATATAGCGTTGGGGGTATGATCCCCACCTCAGATTTACTTGGAGTAACAGCGTAGGGCAGGCTTACTACTCAATGGTATCAGCTCTGGTGGTATAATCCCTACCTTGAATTTATTTTGATTAGTAGTAAAAAGCCAAGTAGCAAAGGAAATATATAATCAAATATATTTTTAAAATGATAAATAAAATTTAAAGCAATTTGGCACAAACCAGGTCTATTTGTCCAAAATAATTCCTTTATTCAGTAGTAAAAGTAAATGGTCCCATTTTGAGAAAGCCACATCGGCGAAACGCGTATTTGGATGTTTTATATTTACATTTACTACTGAATAAAGGAATTCTGATATAAAATGTTTTAGGAATGGTTTATGACAAAGACTTCAATGTGTTCCCATGGCCTCCAAATTCACTATATCTCAATCCAAATGAGAATCTGTGGGATGTGCTTGAACAACAAATCTGATCCATGGAGGCCCTCCTCGCAACTTGCAGGACTTAAAGGATCTACAGATCATGTCTTGGTCCCAGATAGCACAGGACTCGTGCTGTGACATTGCTGTGTGTCCACCTTACCAGTGCCCATGCATTTACCACATCCCATGCAGATGTGTGCACATTATTCCAATATAAAATGTCTAATTATCCTGATGAATGTTCCATCTGGGAACTGAAACGTTGATGTTTATTCTATAATATCTAAATAAAAAAATGTTTAAAAACAATATATAAATATGTGGAAAGACGGAGCCTGTAGTTGTGGGATGGGTTTAGTGGTCTATAAATTCACAGACCTCCCCTTCCCCTGGCTGAGACTTCCTGGTTCAGTACAGAACCATCTACTTCTGGTTCAAAGGTCATCAATACAAACTACCTGAACACCAAATAAAAAAAATCAGAAAAAAAGCCCTTCCCCAAAGCTCATGGGGCATTGCCACATCCGTCGCAGCCGCGGCTTTTCCTGTTGCAGTCTGCGTGTTTTTTTCCCAACAAAACCGTAAGTTTGTTTACTTTGGTCCGTGTTGGGTCAAGCTATCACTGACTTTCCATACATATTCAGCCCACATTTGGCCTTTCACTAACTAGAGTGGTATTAGCATTTCAGTCCGTATTCCTTCCTTACTTGGATATGACGAATTTCACTACAAATGCAAATACGGCTTATTTCAATCACAGCAACACAGTGATACCTCAATTCGGTTCATGCATTCTGCTTACTGTATTTGAACATATTGTATTTTATAGTTTTTAGTTAGTCACCCTATACGCTTTTGTATAATAAATGCTATACCATATTCCGTTTTCCTATTTGTAGCTTATTATTGTCAGCCCACATGGCCTTGGTTATACTCAGCATTTGTTACTTATGTTCACTAGGCCTCAGAACCTATATGTAGGTTTCATGGTTGCCCTCATAGTATTCAGGCACTCATGGGGCCTACACTGTTTAGTAATTATGTGGCAAAGTGTTGCTACTGACTGTCTAAATTTATGTCAGGTGCAAATGTGGCCATATACATGTGTTCAGCATTTATGGTACGGCCTGTTGCTACTGACTGTCTAAATTTATGTCAGGTGCAAACTTGGGCATATACATGTGTTCAGCATTTATGGTACGGCCTGTTGCTACTGACTGTCTAAATTTATGTCAGGCACAAACTTGGGCATATACATGTGTTCAGCATTTATGGTACAGCCTGTTAATAGTCTGTCTTATTTCACTGTGTGTCAATACTCACATTGTTTTAGCCCTTTTTGGGCACAGCACGGGCTTAGTTAATCATACTTTAAAATTATGTCGGTCAGAATTATGTCTGTTCTATGGTTATACGGCCATATACATGGCCTTCATCTAAATGTTATAGTCACACTTTAATCAAGACATGCCATGACCCAGGTCTGCCACTTGGGTGTCATCAGTAAAGATACTTAAAGGTACACTCCACTGCCCCAAAATAAAAAAATAAATTAAAAAACAAAAACCTGTTTAGTAGATATACCCAAAATGAACATACATTTTTTTTTATTGGGATTATATTTACAAGTTTGTCTTAACAAGCCCTACAGGGCCTCTAACACATAGTACTGGCATTCGATTCGACCATCACTAGCCTCACATTAATGCATGTTACTCTATGTTATTCTAGCCATTGCTGTTGCTTTCAACCCTATTCTTTCATACTAATGTGTATGCATAAGTCTTAATCATTCTCCTAGGCATTCCACAAGTATGACTTATAAACATATGTATTATATGTATTATGTATTATATATAAAAAATAATTTAAAAAATTTAAAAATATTATGTTGACCATTTCACAAGCTAGATTAACATTAATGTATGACTTATAAATGTATGACTTATAAATTCTGTCTCCTCCTACATTTAGCGTACGGCCATCACGGCCTCAAACCAATTCAGCACTATTGCATTCTAGTGGTCTATACATCATTTCTGTTATAAATTCTGTTTTATACCCTCCGTTCAACTGGCTCAGTAAGCAGGGGCGTATTAGCCGCGAGGCAAACAAGGCATTTGCCTTGGGCGGCATTTTTCAGGGGGCGGCAAAAAACGCCGCCCCCAAATGCCCAGGGCAAATGCCTTGTTAGCCTTGCGGCTAACAGACATCCCGAGCGGGCGGGCGGCGCTGGCAGGCGGGCGGCTGGCGAGGGAGCACTTCCTATGAGCTGTCAGCTCAGCTCCCTCGCGCACCGCAAAGTGAGACTGGGAGCCGGAAGATGATGTCATATTCCGGCTCCCAGCCTCACTCTGCAGCCGGCGCGCGAGGGAGCTGAGCTGACAGCTCAGAGGAAGTGCTCCCTCGCCAGCCGCCCGCCTGCCAGCCCGACCTGCAGCCACTGGACCACCAGGGAGAGAGACCCCCCCCCCAGCACTCCCAAAGGTAAGGAGGTTGGGGGGGGATTTAAATAAAAAAAAAGTTAATGTGTGTGTGTGTTTGTGTCTGACTGTGTGTGTGTTTGTCTGACTGTGTATGTGACTCTGTGTGTGTCTGACTGTGTTTGTGTATGTGTGTGTGTGTTTGACTGTGTTTGTGAGTGTGTCTGTTTGTGTATGTGTCTGTGTATGTGTCTGACTGTGTGTGTGTTTGTGTCTGACTCTGTGTGTATCTGACTGTGTTTGTGAGTGTGTCTGTTTGTGTCTGTGTGTCTGACTGTGTGTGTGTTTGTCTGACTGTGTTTGTGTCTGTGTATGTGTCTGACTGTGTGTGTGTTTGTGTCTGACTCTGTGTGTGTCTGACTGTGTTTGTGAGTGTGTGTGTTTGTATCTGACTGTGTTTGTGAGTGTGTGTGTTTGTGTATGTGTGTGTGTGTTTGTGTCTGACTGTTTGTCTGTTTGTGTATGTGTGTGTGTGTTTGTGTCTGACTGTGTTTGTGTATGTGTGTGTGTGTTTGTGTCTGAGTCTGTTTGTGTATGTGTCTGTGTATGTGTCTGACTGTGTGTGTTTGTGTCTGACTCTGTGTGTGTCTGACTGTGTTTGTGAGTGTGTGTGTGTTTGTATCTGACTGTGTTTGTGTGTGTGTGTTTGTGTATGTGTGTGTGTGTTTGTGTCTGACTGTGTTTGTGTATGTGTGTGTGTGTTTGTGTCTGACTGTCTGTTTGTGTATGTGTGTGTGTGTTTGTGTCTGACTGTGTTTGTGTATGTGTGTGTTTGTTTGTGTCTGACTGTGTTTGTGAGTGTGTCTGTTTGTGTATGTGTCTGTGTATGTGTCTGACTGTGTGTGTTTGTGTCTGACTGTGTTTGTGAGTGTGTCTGTTTGTGTATGTGTCTGTGTATGTGTCTGTGTATGTGTCTGACTGTGTGTGTGTTTGTCTGACTGTGTTTGTGTCTGTGTATGTGTCTGACTGTGTGTGTGTTTGTGTCTGACTCTGTGTGTGTCTGACTGTGTTTGTGAGTGTGTGTGTGTATCTGACTGTTTGTGAGTGTGTGTGTTTGTGTATGTGTGTGTGTGTTTGTGTCTGACTGTTTGTCTGTTTGTGTATGTGTGTGTGTGTTTGTGTCTGACTGTGTTTGTGTATGTGTGTGTGTCTGACTGTGTGTGTGTGTTTGTGTCTGACTGTGTGTGTGTATTTAGAAGGTGGGGCGGGGGGAAGGGTTGGGTGGGGGTGGTGCGGGGGGAGGGGGGCGCCTGAGTTTTGTCCTGCCTAGGGCAGCACAAAACCAGGATACACCACTGTCAGTAAGTATGTATTGTATAACCTTTAACATGTATTTTCTCTACAACCTATATCTGATCTACCAATCACCCCTCCATTACTTTTATCACAGCCTCACGTAGGCATCCTGCACCTCAGGACTTACATCGAGTCCCTTCTCGGCCTCATATACATAGTCCTTGCAAAAGGCCCTCAATATGACTTTGCAACGTCCGTTTCACGTGACCCTCAGTGGGCAACATACTATGTTCCTATTTCAGCCCTTCATTGGGCTTTTCATTTGCATAACATCCACTTACAGGGGTTGCATACTACCCTACCCCACCACACTACACAATATTGATAAACTAATCATACCTTACCTTTCACTAGGTCATCCTCCTGGGAAAACTGTATTCTTAAGCATGTATGTTGTCCCTACCCCATGTAAAAACTCTGGTTCAGCAGTATCTATTAGGCGGAATCATCATCACTTACATAGGACACAGCCTAAATATACTCACATGTTGCAAACAATTGAGTGTCATCAATACTATCCAGATCTTGATTCATGGAATATCTTTAAACATGGTCTTTACTTGACCTTCACTACATTCGCTTCACGAGGCCCTCTATAGGAAATTCAATACAACACAATTGTGGCCCCTCATTTGGGTTTGAAATAAGTTTAACTTCCTGCTTCACAAGGGTTTTATATTTTTTATCTTACTTGTTCAATTATACGCTAGTCCTACACCAACCCAACCTATATGGCCCTCCTCATCCTCATCCTTTATTCTTACTCCACATATTAAGCCACCTCTGTCTAGCATGGTATAGACAATGTTACATATGACACCTACATCTAGACACTTAATAATCTATCATGTTGGTTATTTATATAATTATTCTTTGATCACAGCCTCAGACGGAGCTCCATTAGATACAACGTTGCCACACATTGGGGGGCCCAGACTTTGTGCTTTGTCAGGGGCCCCAAAATTTCTAATGGCAGCCCTGTCGGCATCACTACTGGGAGCACAAGTGAGCTGTGCAGGAAGAGCACCCAACCCAGCAGCAACCGCTTATTACCATGGGGAAGATCCAAGAGCAAGGTAGGGAAGTTGGGTGGAACTCTTAATTACTAAATGTGTGTAAGAATGTGATTTTCGTGTGTGTCTGTGATTGTGTGTATCTGTCGTTAAGTGTGTGTTTATTGTGATTGTGTGTCTGTGATTAGGTGTATGTCTGTGATTGTGTGTGTATTTATATACACAAACAACCACAGATGTACAAGTCTGTGTGTATATATCTGTGGTTGTGTGTGTATATAAATGTGTATGTGTTTAGTAGATAGCTCCCTTATTTGGTGTCCTTAAATATGTCAATCCCACATAAGGATAACAAATAAGGGAGTTATCTACTAAACAACTGAAAGATTAAAATTAAGTAAAAGGCTTTTAAATTTTGATCTTTTAGCAGTTTAGTAGATAATCCCCTAAATTAATGCTCTTGTGCGAGATTTCCATATTTAAATATGCCAAATTAGGGTGCTCTTTAGATCTAAATATGGCAATCTCACATAGGGATATCAAATAGAGGAGTTATCGTCTAAACAAAGATCGAAGTTTAGAGGTGTCAACCAGCGCAGAGCAGGAAATCTGTGTGGCTAGTATGAATTCTATGCAAATGTGTTGTCTGATTGTGTGTATATATTTGTGTATGTGTATATGTGCATACATCTTAGCATTTTGCCAACACTACAGTCAAGCACACCACTGCATTCAAACAACACTACAAACGAACACACCTTTGTATTAAAACATCACCATTAGATATAACCACACCACTGCATCTCGCCAACATTACACACAAATGCATGCCTGCATTCAAACGCCAACACTACACACCCCTACATTCACTCACACATTTTCCATACAAAAACACATGCTTACATTTAGATGCACAAACACTGCTCAGTGCTACATTCATTGTAAAAAAATTGGGGTGTTCTTTTTACATTTTAAAGTGGTGGTGAGGTGGGGGGTGCCATAAGGAGGATCCGCCCTGGGTGCCAAATGCTCTAGGTACGCTCCTGCCCCTCATACAGCCCTATTTTTTCCATCCTGCTGCTCAGGACTTACAATGGGCACTCTCTGCCTTTCGCTATGATACCTCTACACGTGGCCTTCACTGCATACGGCCCTCTTTGGGCAAACAACAATCCAATTTTAGCCCCCCATTTCAGCATTTACATACAACATTTTCCTGCTTACAGGGAAAACTACAACCCTTTCATATCACATTCTACTATTCCACACTGCTTCGCTAGGCCCACACAAGAACCCCTCATTATGCAATTAAAGGTATTCAGACCTCTTCGATCTGTCTATTTTACTTAAATTAGTATAACCCACACCTTCAACTAAAGTGCTTACTAGATCTCATAATTTGCTACACGCTAGTAAGCTAGAGATGTTTTGGTGTTTATGTTTAATTACTTAGGTTTTTCCTTCTCACACATACTTCAGGTCCTTCTGGTAGAAGGATGCACAGTGGGAACTCATATCTAGATTCAGTTCAATCAGGTATCTCTTTTCCTTACTAATTTTGTTTGGCCTAGGTATGTACTTATGCATAAGTTCCCTTATTTTTCTAGGTTCCCACCATCCTTTCTTAACCTGTTGTTGACGTATTCATCCTTAACCACAACACAGGTACGTTATCTAAATTAGCACTTGCATAATCCTGGACATATTCCCATTGTGTCTTTAAATTCCTCTCTATGATATTCCTTTCTCAAGCTCAACCTCACTAGTTCGCAAGGTACATATGTTCCATGATACTTTCTATCAATCCATTATGTTTCTATGTCCCTACATTCCTTAGGGATAGATCAACTGGCTGCAAAGGGTTTGGTGCAAGCCATTTTCTAGTATGTTCACATAATTCAGTCCCGCAAGGCCAACACCCATCCTCATGTGCAGGTATTCACCCATCGGCCCAACTCATAGCTAGAGCCTCGCTCCAACCTCTACAGGTTATTAGATGGGGCCTCACCTATCACGGCCACTCATTTGAATCTCTTACTTGTCACAGAGAAGCCAAGGCCAACATTTGCGCCACTTCTTTCGGTGACCTAAGTCCCTCTGCCAAAATCACAGCTAGAGCCTCTGTGAGCCACTTGGCATTTAGCAAGGCCTCGCCTTCCCCTTGTAAAGCTTATTTCTTTACCATCCGGCACTTAGAGAGCTGCCAGTTGATACAGGGCTACACTCTCATCAAGATGCCCATTACATTTACTCATTGTTTATTCATCATAGTATGTCTCTCATCACGGAACTAGAAGAAGTTATTTCATTCCCAAGTATCCCGCCAGATCATCCACCCCAGCTAGTCCCTTGTACTCTGGTCAGGTACCAGGATACCACTAACACAGTTCCTAATTGCTTCTGAACTTATGCATAACGATTTACTGTTCCCAGCAACAGTACTGAAGCCGAATTGTACAGACTCTTGATTGTCAACTCTGAGCTCCCCAGCCGGATATCTGCGCCCATGAAAATATCACAGACAACATGGCAGAGATGCATGCTATGATGACATCCATCGTTTCATTATAATTATGTCCTATGATAGTGTGGAGAATTAAAGTCTCCTAACTCAGGAGTTCCTAACCCTCACACGCAGTACTCCACTATGTACCCCTTACTTTCATCCACTATAGGTTACATCACAAGTTACAGTCCGGAACACATTCCCTCTGTTTACGTTATTTCACCAGCACATTTAATTCTTCGGTCACCAGGAAGTACATATTGGTGGGCAAAGACACCAATTTGGTCTCCTCGTAGATTGCCTGACTTCCCTAATTCATTCCAAAGTAGTTCCTTGCAATATGCCATAGTGGACGTCTCTGTGGCATTTGCATGGTATTAAATGGTGCGGGCATTTTATTTGCCACTCGTCTCATGTCTGGGATCTATCGCAGCCCTAAACTATTTAATGTATTTGTGGTAACCCTCTCATGGCTGCTATTGACGGTCTGTTACTGCTATACAATGATACATTACCATGACACATTTCTGACTGTTGAAGAACCTATTGCTATACTAGAGCATTTACAAGCCCATGGCCCTGTTTCATCCTTGGTATTCCGCTACCCCAAGATATACCATAGGCCTATACCTGTAATATTACTAGGCGTACATCTTGACTTATTGTCAAAGCAGCCCTGCCCCCTGTGGACAGTGTCCAGCGTATCAGGGAAGACAGAGTCATTCATCGGCAAAGATTCATTCCCCCACTGATTCCCCTGTTATTTTAGACTGGGTTTGCAGCCATTATCAAGGACAACTGGTTCTGTGACACATGGCCCGCATAGACATGAAGCCTACTCTTTTAGTAACCTTCAGCTCTCGTTGTACTATACACCATCGCGACTGCACTAGCCTGGGGGTCTCTATGGAGGAGGAAGTCTGTCAATTACTACTCAAACACAGCAGTATGCAAAGTTACTTGGCTGGCAGCAACACAGCAATTTTACCTTGTCTGTCACAACATAGCAGCTGAAGCATTGTCTCAATCCCATTTTAGGTATTCCTCCAAACATTCCATGGCTGCTTAATCACATACTAAAACTCCTACATTCTAGGTTCTCATTCTGGATTAGTTCATCTCATGGTCATGGTAGATTGCTGGCACACGAAGCTCTCTCTGCTTATACCAACCATTATATACCAGAACTCTGGACATTTTAATAAGTTCACTTCTGAAGACTGAATTGTCAATCCGAATTGTCAACCAGGGCCAGACTCAGAAAAAAATTCAGCCCGGGCATTTTTCAATCACAGTGTCCTTCTGAGAAGGGCGCGGGGCCAGATAGGGTGTGTTTGTCATCACTAATGACAAGCACGCCCCCTCTCAAAGTGAGCAGGTTGGTTCAATGCTCTTCCAGGGCAGACCATGCACAGAGCTCTGCTGAAGAGCTCTAGCATGAGAAAAAGGTCCTGTATTTATTCTGCGTAGCGCAAGCAAATGTAATAACATGCTTGCGCTGTGTTTGCTTTTAACTTGAATCTGGTGTCTCCATAAATGGGATACCAGAGGACAAAAGGGCCAGGAAAGCATATCGTGCATGTGTTTATACCCTGCTTGTGGGATTACGTGTATGTAGAGTGAGCTGATTGTGGTGTGGTATTGTGTAAATAGGTTGATTTCATTCGTGTTTGTGGTGTAATATATGAGGCTAGGTGCTGTAGAGAGTGTGTGTGAATAGGGGGAAAAGTGTGTGTAGGTGTGTAGGGGATGTAGCAAGTGTGTGCATACGGGCTGTAGTGTGTGTGTGTGTATAAGTGATGGAGTGTGTGTAGGTGGTGTAGAGAGTGTGTGTTTAGAGAATGTAGTATATGTTTGCTAACAAGGAATGTAGTGTGTGCATAGGGGATCCAGAGTTTGTATGTCAGGAATGTAGTGTGTGTACGTGGTGCAGTGTGTGTGTGTAGGGGATTTAGTGTGTGAAGGACCCAGAGTGTTTATAGGAGATATAGTATGTGTGTGTGTGTAGAGGATTCAGAGTTCATATAGGGCTCTAGTGTGTGTGTGTGTGTGTGTGTGAGTGTAGATTAAATGATCCAGAGTTGGGTAAAGGATCTAGCGTGTATCTGGAATGTAATGTGTGTGTTTTGTGAGGGGTGCTGTAGTATATACATATATATCCTTGTATTTCAGCAATAAAAGTTAAGTTTTATCTTACATCTTGGAAGTCCCTGGAGTGCTATCTATACTACATTGTGTATGTATGCTGACAAGCACCGGGCACTTAACACCAGTATGTGGAGTGCTGAACTATTTTATATATATATATATATATATATATAGACAGTGCCCCTCACACATACTATATATATAGTATGTGTGAGGGGCACAGTCTATTTGGAGTGTGAGAGGAGTCTGTGTGTGTGTGCGAGGGTGCTGTGTGTGTGTGAGGGTGCTGGGAGTGTGAGGGTGCTGTGAGTGTGCTGTGTGTGTGTGAGTGTTCTGTGTGTATGTGAGGGTGCTATGAGTGTTGGGGTACTGTGTGTGAATATGTTTGGAGGGATTGTGTGTGGGAGGGAGGGGAGACAAATTAATTTAAATATGTTAAATATATATTTTATAAATAAATATGAATAATAAAAAAAAAACTTTATACCCCCCTCCCTTCTTACCTCTTGACTGTGAGGGGGTGGCCATCTCTCGTGTTCCTAGTGGTGAGTGAACACTAGCCTGCGAGATGGGAACGTTGCCTCCTCTCCCTCCCCAACCGGCAGCTGCATGTCAGTGCCTGTGGGCCAGTGAGGGAGATCTTTTATCTCCCCACCGGCTCATGAAGGCATACAGCAGAGCTGGCGCTCTGATAGTGCTGGCTCTGCATGGACCAACAAGGGAAATCCTGTGTTCTCCCCTGCTGGCCTTGGCCCATGACCATCTTGGCCCATCGGGCATTTGCCTGGTATGCCCTATGGCCAGTCCAACAAAGACATCTGGCAATATTTGTCCCAGTCCTGGAAAAAGCTCCATCAATAAGGAACACCTTAACTTAACTGTAAAAGTTGTCTCATCTTACCCTCTAAACCTCTGTCATTCATTTGTTACCATTCTATTTACCATCCCATTTAGAGGTTTGTGAATAGAGCTGTGAACAGTATTTGCCCTAGCATTGATATCATAAGTGCATAGTGCAGACTCAGTTTTTTCTGAGAGCTGAGATTTACTAATAAATTAAAGGGGCACTATAGTCACCAGAACAACTACAGCTTATTGTAATTGTTCTGGTGAATATAATCATTCCCTTCATGGTTTTTTTTTTGCAGTAAACACTGTCTTTTCAGAGAAAATGCAGTGTTTACATTACAGCCTAGTGATAACTTCACTGACCACTCCTCAGATTGCTGCTATTGGTGCTTCCTGGAGCACACTGTGCAGCACTGCCATTCAGTGTCTCCACACTCTGCATGGAGACACTGAACTTTCAATATATCGGATTCAATGCATCTCTATGTGGAAATGCTGATTGGCCAGGGCTGTGTTTGACTTGTGCTGGATCTGCCCCTGAACTGCCTTCTTGACAGTCTCAGCCAAAGCATTGTGATTGGCTCACAGAATCACTTCTGATGGTGTCAGCCAAGCAGGCAGAATAGTGGAGAGGAAGCAGCTGCATACTTGATTACAAGTAAGATTTTACTATATTTAGAGTTAGAGGGGGCTAGATGTTGGTTTTAACACGGTAGGGTCAGGAATACATGTTTGTGTTCCTGACCCTATAGTGTTCCTTTAAGGAATTGCATGACAAATGTCTGCCTAGTTTACAACCAGAGAAAAATTTGGACATCAAAGGAGGAAGTATTAATTCTTGCTTTAATGTCAGAGAGAGAAGGGGCAGGGTTTATAGAAGCAGAGGTGTTTTAGTTTTAGAAAGCTTTGCAGTGAGACAGAGATAGCAAATTTCCATGCACTATTATTTATGCTATGAGCAAGTCTGCTGGGGCTCTTCCCTCTGAAGCCAACATTGTAATTACAAGGTTATTTTTGTTGCAAATAGACTTTAAAATAACATGCACAAGGTCACAAACAATTAAACCCTGGGATTAAGCTAGTGTCATTTGGTATTCATACCAAATGAGACTATGAGACACGCATGCCCTCTAAAATACACTTTATAATCAATAAAGACATTTCACCGTGGTAACATGCCCTACTTTTTATATTGTTTTTTATTCCTAAATAAATTGCTTTGTTGGGATATAAAATATGCAATGTGCATTCACATACAGATCTGTATCTCATTTTATGTGCAGATTTGGCATGACTCTGACTATAAAGACCCATGACCAGAGAAAGTCAGGGGCCTAATGAGCCATTAACAAACACAAAGGGCTGTCTGTACAGGCTATAAGCTAGGCAATTGCGTTGATAATCCTGTTTGCTGCTTAACTGGACCTTCTCAGCTGCTTTAGTGAAGAGTAAAAGTGGTGCTGGTGTGTCTTTATTTGTTTTCATAGCCAAATGAGTCACAATTCACTGAATGCTGACAGGGAGAGGAAATCAGGCCCCTCAGGAAGATAAACTACAGACGGAAATACTGATCTCACCAGCTTAACTAAAACATGTACACAGTCTGGGCCGACCTGACAGGTTTGTATTTGATGTGTTACGTTGGAAATGAAACCATAGAGTAGTTTCCTTTATCAAGGAAGAAGAAAGATTGTCATGCTCTCCTTTTCTTTTCTATTTTTTTTTTTTTCAATATCTGATTTTTATTGATAGAATTTTGCATAAGAGTAAAATAACAGTGGGGGTACAGAAAGTAGAAAAAGGGAGGGGGTGGGGTTGGGGGGATTACAGACGGATTGGATTTTGTACATTTCACTCATTACAGGAGCATTTACATGGTGGGTTGTACATACATACAGGCATTATGCAGCCAGCGTTCTTAGTATAATGACCATACAGTAGTTAAATGCATGTGTACATAATATTCATACATGTTATCTAATATACATAAAGAGAACATCGTAACATCTTCGGGTTTTTACAGCAATGATTCGGACATGGCAGGACTAGAGTGGAATAGACTGATCCAACATGCTTAAACACATTCAGAATGACATATATATCACCTTTAAGGTCCTATGACGCTAGATTGAGTTGAGGTACAGGTGCTAGAGGGACCGTTGATTAATGTTAATGGCTCTTACTCGAGTGCGTGTGATTCTCCTAGTGGCGGTAAATGAGCGTCTGTATGCTGGGGTGGTAGACCAGGTCAGGGGCTACGGAGAGTCAGAGCTGTACTTAGTTTACTGTACCTGGTTCAAAATGTGTTAATATTGGCTTTGTGGTCATAAAGAAGGTGGGAGGGAGCCTCTGATAGGGGAATTTGTCTCCAGACATTCCATGTTTTAGATTTAAATAGTTTGACTAAAATATTGCCTACTGGTGCGTTCTGGTGAATATCATATATACGCGTGAGGACTGTCAGTCCAGCCACAGAACCTCGCCATCCATTGTGCATTTGCTTAGTCGATGGCCCTTTAGATTAGTCATTATGGAGTGTTAGAGGAGTTGATGTAGAAGAGGTAGAGGGAAGATAATGAACAAGGGTGAGATGTAAAGGAAGGGGGGCGGGGAAGGCGAGGAGGAGGGACAGGGGAATAAAGGAGAGAGTAGAGAAAGGAGAGGAGGGAGAGAGGAGAGGAGCGAAAGAGATGTTAGGTCAGAGATGGTAAGAAACAAGAGACAAGAGGCAAGGGACATGAGACATGAGACCCTCACATCCGAGCGACCTTAAATGTAGTGTGAGAGTGCCTTTCATCCTAGAGACGGAATTTATTCTGAGTCGATGCGGTGTTTGTACGTGGTTTCCCATCCTTTCCATTGTCCGTTGAATTTGGTCATGTTCCCTTTTATTGCCCATTCCTTTTCATAGCAGTACGTAGTGTTTATTCTGTTAAGCAGTTCTTTTGCTGATGGGATAAAGTCACTCTTCCAATGAGACGCAATGCATAATTTTGCCGCAATCAGAGTATTAAGTACAGCTGCCGTCGAGGGGAGTTGGTTCATGTTCGGTATTAGATGAAGCAAGTAAAAGTCAGGACGTAGGGAGAGTTGTAACCCGGAGATGGAGTGTATGACGTTCTTCACGTAGGTCCAAAAAGTACCCAGGTGTGGGCATTCCCAGAAAATGTGTAATATTGTGCCCCTTCCACTATTGCACCTCCAGCATGTAGGAGCAGCCGTTAGGTATATTTTGCTCAACCTATCGGGCACTAAATACCATCTCATTAGTACCTTAAAGTATGCTTCCCATAGATTAACACATTTGGTGGATTTTTTGGTAGTTGCTATCGCAGATAGCCAGTCCTTGAGATGGAACTCTGTACCCAAGTCTTTTTCCCAGTTTAGCATATAAGGTAATTTAGTTTCCTTGGACATGTTTAATTGGGCTAGGTAGCACAATGAGAGGAATTTCGGCGGGTTGCGAGTTGTGCTTATGTTGTAGCAAGAGTGGCCTATTGAGCTAAGTGTTGATGGGTCTTGATATTTAATATTTGCAGTGTGCAATATATGCTTGACTCTCAAGTAGAGGAAGATATCCCTATGTGGTAGGTTATGAGAGACTTGTAAGTCAGGGAATGTGCGAAGGCCCTTGGAGTTATACAAGGAGTAAACATGGGTTAAGCCTTGATGACGCCAGTGCATTATCGACAAGTCTGGTGATATTGTAGACAGGACTCGTAATGGTGCCAAGTAGAGAAATTCTTGATTGGAACAGAGGTTCGAGCTCCATGCTTTCCAAGAGTTCAGAAGAAATTTTGTGCATGGCAATGGTGGGTGGGTAGGGCATTTTTTTTTTGTAGCCCACATAGTGTCAGATAGGGAATGGAGTTGGCTACATGCTTGTTCAAGTTTAAGCCAAATTGGGCTGGCTTTCTCTGACATAATGTCCAGGCTCTGTGCTAGCGTGGATGCTTTGTAGTAGTTTGTGATATTGGGAACGCTCAGGCCACCCTGATGGATGGGGTTCCATAGGGAGTGAGTAGCGACTCTCTGAGGTTTTCTTTTCCAAATGTGCGCGTTGATAGTTGATTGGAATTTCGTAAGAATTGATTTGGGAAGAGTGATGGGCAGTGTTCTAAAAAGATATAGAATATGAGGGAGCGCCATCATTTTAACCGAATTCACTCTTCCTATCCAAGAAGTGTTCAAATTATCCCAGGATTTCAATTGGTTGGATATTTTCAGTAGGACTGCCTCATGATTTTCTTTTATAGTTTGAGAGTGTGATAGCGTAAGTTTGATGCCTAAATATGTAACGGAAGTCTTGCGCCAATCAAAGGGGAATTGTAATTTCAAATCGGTTGTGACCTGGGGTTCGAGGTTCAGAGGGAGTATTTGTGTTTTGCTGATGTTATTTTTATAAAATGACAAGTTACCATATGAGGCAAGAGTATACATGAGATGGGGAATGGCACATCTAGGATTTGCTAAAAAAAGAATAACATCGTCTGCAAATAAAGCAAGCTTCTTTTCCCCTGCTGGTGTGGTAAAGCCTGGCAGTAAGGGGTCTTGTTTGATTGTTCGAATGAGAGGCTCTAAACATAAGATAAATATGAGGGGGGATAGGGGACACCCTTGTCTCGTACCATTGGAGATGTCAAAGCTCTTAGATAGGAATCCTGAGTTCAGTACTTTCGCCGATGGCGCGGAGTAAAGGGCCATAATGCTCGTGATGAAGGATTCCGAGAATCCATAAGCTTGTAGAACAGTTTCCATGTACGTCCAATTTAGGCGATCGAAAGCCTTTTCTGCGTCCAAGGCCATTAAGACCCCGGACATACGTTGACGAGTTGCCCAGTCGATGAGGTCCATGCAAAATCTGGTGTTGTCTCCCACTTGCTTGCCAGGCACGAAGCCTGCTTGTTCTTCCGAGACCAAGGTAGACAGCAAGGGTTTCAATCTTGTGGCTATAAGTTTGGCATAGAGTTTCACATCGGCATTTAATAGCGAAATTGGTCTTAGATTGCCACAGGTAGTGGGTGGTTTATTCGGCTTGGGTAGGGTAATGATGTACGCTTCCAGCATAGTTCTAGGGAAGTGGCCAGTTTCTTTTATTTTATTAAAAAGTTTGGTTATGTGCGGGGATAGGTATGGTTCTAATTTGAGATAATAGTAATTCGGGAGACCGTCTGGGCCTGGGGCTTTGTGCCTGGGGAGAGATTTAATAGCCGCAGCTACTTCTGATTCCGTGAACGGGGCAGTAAGCGTGTTATTTTGTTGTTGTGAAATTTTTGGCAGTTGTATTTTTTCTAGATAAGTTAGAATGTCTGTTTTGTCTGGAGTGTGCGTGTTCTCGTTTGCGTCTAGGTTGTATAGTTCCTCATAGAAAGATGCTAGTTCATTCACTATGTCGGTAGGATTATATATTTTTATCTGTGATTTTGAGAGAATATATGGGATTTTCGTTTGAAGATATTTGGATTTCAGTTGGTTTGCTAGCAATTTTCCGGCCTTATTGCCCATGCCATAATAGTGACGTTGAAGTCTAGCTGCGTTGGTGGTGAATTCTTTGACTTTAATTTTTAGTATCTCGTCGCGCGTTTCCTTTATTTGTTTCGTCATGGTACGGGAAGGGGTTAATTTGTTGACGTTTTCCAGTGTCGTGAGTTTCTGAAGCAACTTTCGTTGTAGGTTATGAGATTTCTTCTTGTTGATTGATCCTATTTTGATAAATTCACCTCTGATCACCGCTTTATGAGCGAGCCATTGGGTTTCTATTGATGTATCATTTGTAGTGTTGATTTCGAAATAGTTTTGCAGTTCGCAGGCAGTCTTCTCTAAATTTGAAGGTGTGTCAAGAATGGATTTGTTTAATCTCCATTTGCCTCGGCCTCTCGTTGGGTAAGGCACTGCTATTGTGATAGTTATTGGGGCATGATCTGACCATGTTCTGGTCCCTATCATTTGATCTAAAAGATGAGGCAATGTGGATTTATCTATCAAGCAGATATCTATTCGTGTATATGTTAAGTGGACCGGGGAGAAGTAAGTGAAATCCTTAGCAGCTGGGAATAGGTTTTTCCATGTATCATAGAGATAGTGCGAAAAAATAAGATTGGAGAATGATTTGCTGTTGTGGATGGTTAGTTTGTTAGGCTTTTTATCGTTGGCACGTTGAACATCTAATGTAGGGTCTAGTGTACAGTTGCAGTCACCGCAAATTATAACATGTCCTTGTTTTAGTGAGGAGATTTTTTTTATGGCTTTGTTGAGAAAGGAGAATTGAGCCTCATTTGGTGCATATAATGATGCTATCGTCACTTGAATCCCGTTGAGGTCTCCCACTATGATTAGCAATCTCCCATTTGGGTCAACATGTTGTTTGGTAGGGGTGAATACCCAGTCTGCATGTAGTAGGATGGCTACACCTTTGGATTTGTTTGGCGCATAAGCATGATAAGCTAAGGGGTATTTGGAGGATCGTAGATTAGGAGGGTTCTTTTTACAAAAATGAGTTTCTTGGAGGCATACTATAGCGGCATTGGAGTTGTGCATATCTTTTAGAGCTTGTCTTCTTTTGTACGGGCTGTTGAGGCCTTTGACATTGAGAGAGAAAATTTTCATTGTATTAGCCATTGATTGATTGTGTGGCATTAGAGGTTGTGCTTAGGTGTCTTATTCTTATGATATGAGGGGCAAGCTGAACGTTCTCTTCCACTAGAGTAGAGCCAGTAGAATCAAGTGTAGCATTGCTACCATTAAGACGTACGGATGGGCTTCTTAGTGATGCGTCCGGATGTGAGGGTAACAAGTAGAGGGAGAAGAAGGGAAGAGATAAAGATTTAACAAGAAATACGTAACTATATACAAAGGTACCTTCTGTGAAGAGAAGGTGTAGGGTGGACATGTTGAGACCACTATGAGTGTCTCGAACCATGACCTGGGGGGCAAGAGAGAGTTCCTCCAGCCTGATGTAAATCGTGTAACAATGAGCAACTACTTGTAGAGATGCATAAAATTAACAAAACAGAATTAGAGGAGAGGAGATCCAATGTGGCAGGAAGCCGCAACACCTGGAAGAGTGAAGAAGGTAGAGCTAGTGTCTACCTGGTATTGTTCATATATTTGTCACCAGAGCTAGAGGATGCGTTCGGCAGGCGAACGGTTTCCGAATTCTATTTTGCGTGACATGAAACACGGGATAGTGGTAGCAGCATGAAAATCGGATAGTGGTGATACTGAGCTAGAGGGGGGGGTAGGGAAGGACTACGCTGCTGAATAATAATTCGCCTACGCTCAATCGTTTGTGATGTCCTTCCTCTCCCATTGAATGCGGGACCCGGCCGCTAAATTGTAGATCATAAACCAGGAATAGCAAAATATAAAGTGTATAATATAAAATAAAATAAAAATGTAAAAATGTAAATTAAGGCGGGTCACACCGTATACTGGTATGTGATAGGTAGATGTTTCTAACCTGCATACGGCGCCCAGCACTATGTACAGTTATAGCATATGCACGTGTGAAAGCTGGTATATGGGAACGTGTACTTGTGACATAGTAAATGCAACTGCATCGCTTATCGCAATTTTAAAGCCATAGATGAAAATACATCCAAGGAAGGATTTTAAAGTAAGCTAAAGAAAGATACTGTATTTAATAGATTTGTGGGTGATGCAAGCGCTTGCGCTCATTTCCTCTGTCAAGTAAGTTGGGACTGGTAGTATATTATTGTGCCGTTTTAAGTGGGTCTAATTGCACGTGATCAGATAAGCGGTAGTTTGCACTAATAGTGCTGCGTGTATTAGGTGCAGTGGTTTTAATCTACCATTTTGTGGACATCAATCCAAGTGCAAGAATACCGTGTTTAAATTTATCACCCGCAGTTGGGTACAGTTAAAATCAGAATCTGTAGTAAGTTGACAATAGCGACCGTGAGCGGTCGCGGAAAACCAGGCTGAAAGGTGCAGCTGAAAGAGGCCCCATGTCACAATGTGCACTTCGAATTGGGCATGTACAGTTATCCATTACCACATTTCCATAGTATCTACTTATTAAGCATATATTATACAGGCGATTTCTAATAAAAAAAAAAAGAGTTAAGGCATATAACTTAACTAATTTTTAGAGTCAATTGTGCTGAGTTTCAGTGCAAACTTAAATAACATGTTGCATAGTAAGAAAAAAGAAAAAAAATATAGAGAGAATAATTAACTTAAAAACTTGTCAACATAACACAGTATAGGTTATACTCATCGCTTCACGAGTGTGTTGAGACAAAGGCAGTTCATGGTTTTGTAGTTGACGATCCCGTCATATTCCAATCCGCCTGAAGTTTCTTCGGGGAAAGGTCTGTTGCTTGTGCGGCGTGTGGAGTTGTGGTGGTTGCATTCCAAAGACCCCAGGAGGTGATTATCTTCATGCCTTCGGCTGGTTCGGTTATAACCAGTGTTCTGCCTTGTCTCCAGACCAGAAGTTTCGTTGGGTAACCCCACTTGTAGGAGATATTATTGTTGCGTAGGGTTTTAGTGATGGTTATGAATTCTTTTCGGCGTGCCATAGTGGAAGCTGATAGGTCAGCAAATAAAAATATATTTTTAAAGGGTTCAGGTAAAGTGCCTGTCTTCCTTGCTGCGTTAAGCAGAGTGTTCTTGTGTGCAAAGTAATGAAACTTCACAATAGTGTCTTTAGGGACATCCTGCGCCATACGTGCCGGGCGTGGAAGTCTGTGCATGCGGTCGAAGGTCCAGGCAGAGTCAGGTAAGTCTGGGACTAAGATTTTGCAGATAGATAGTATATAAGCAGGAAGAGCGTCGTGGGAGATATCATCCGGTATACCCCTGAATCTTACGTTCTGCCTTCTGGATCTATCCTCTAGATCTGCTAATTTTAATTGAAGTGTATTGTTGTCTTCTGAGAGTTTCTGAAGTTTATCAACAACTTCGTTGTGAGCTGCACACAGCTCGTCGGTTTTGTTTTCTAAATGGTTGGTTCTTTCACCCAGCGTTGAAATTTCCTTCCTCAGTTCGCTGTCGATTTGCAGGAAATCCTTCCTAATGGTAGAGCGGAGGTCTTGCAGCATTCTATGCAGACTTCGTTCTGTAATCGCAGAGTCCGATACTTTGGAGGAGATTGATTCAGCATCTGACTGGTCGTCCGACAAGCCAGGTGTATCGCCGCCATCTTGTTTTTCTTTCCTCCGGTCTTTTTTCCGGGTTTTCACCGCGTCCATGATCTTGAGCTGTTTGGGGGGTGACATAGTCGTGGGGTATCACCTTGGGAGCACGGGTAGTGAGATAAATTTGCAGTTTTTGCTTTTGTTGTCGCTATCCGGCTGGATTTTCGGCGGAGCTCTCAAGCCATGCGTCCGTACTCGCCGGAAGTCGGACACGCCCCCTTTCTATTTTTTTTTTTTTAACGGTCAGTACAGGCTGGAGTGGGTAATGCACTGAAAAAAACAAACAAACAAACAAATATTAATTAATTACAAATGCAAACAAATGATTGGATGAATGAATAAATACGATTAAAAGGAACAAAGTGCTGGCAAAAACACTAACCTGTGAAATTCCTTAATTTTCTGTAAATCTATAATTTCTACTGGGGACAGGAAGTGGCTGTAATTTTTTACGGAATGAAAAAAGGGAGAGGGTCAGCAGTCATGCACTTTATGAACAAGTAATTAAACAGATTATGACCAGGGGAAGAATGAATTAATGTTAATGGGTAGCAAAGAATAGGTGGTTATGGCTCTTTGAGTGTCCCGTTAAAGAGCTTTGAGGAGAATTACAGTTGTTGGGAATATTTATTTTGCTTCCAATGGCTGTAGTTTGATGGTATTTTGAGTGTCAGGCTTTATTTAATAAACGTAACCTCTCTTTGCCATGTCGCTAAAATACATTGTGTTGCACTATAATCCTCTTGATCATCCTTAAACTCTTCTTTAGAAATGTCTTTGATGACAGCATTAAACAGCAAAAATGATTTGCTTTATGAAGTCTTTCTTTAAACAATAGGCTGCGTGCAATTGTTAGCGACAGAACAGAAACACAATATGATTAATCGTGGGCTGTTTAGCCAAGCCACCCTCCCTCTAAACCTGGCTTTACATAGGGGAGAAAATTGTACTCATGCAATAAAAGAAATCCATAAAAATACATTTGGAGTCTGAAAAATTTTACGACCCAAATCTTGGTGATATGTATTAACTGCTACAAACTTTATTTGTGTCCTGATCTGCTCTGTTCCGGAAAGAATAATAATAGTAATGGAGTGTTGGAAGGGAAAAAAAAATGAATCAGGTAAAAGCAAAAATAAAATAAAGTTTACAATTAGTCTAGCATTGGAAATAAAAAATATGTTTGTTTATTGAGTTATATAACACAGCTTGACATGTCTTATATCAGCAAGGAGTTGGACGTTTCTGTGAAGCGAGGTGTTTTTCTACCTACTAATGTGAGTGCAAGACCAAAACTCATTATCTGCAGACTTTATATCTCAAATAGCATAACTGTCTGCAAAGGTTATTTTTTGGCTGTTTTCTGGTTATTATTCCAGAAGGCCTTCAAATATACCATATGTGATATGTCTGGTTTTATAGCCGGAGGAGTAGTCAGGTTTCATATTTTTAGATCTGTGGCCATTTTTCTGAAGGTCTACGTTTTGTGTTTAATTTATGCTAAGTCATATTTCTACACAAACAGTGCAGTTAGGGAAAGAGCTGGTTTTATATCTTTCATATCTCGCAGTTATGAATTTAGTGTTTTTGTTTTTGCTCCACCTGTTTTATTTTCATCGAAGATATTTCATCTCACAGATGTGTTGAAGGTGATATAAATCTCATGTTATCCTAATTTATTGCTTTGTGGATTATCCTTCCCATTAACCGTTGGGTTCGTACGGGGTGTGTCTCATACCGTAGCTAACAATCACTGTCAATTAGTTTTGAATGTAATCCAAAACAGCCGTTCACAACATTGCCTATCACACTTTCTTGGCACATGGTAGAATAAATACGTTTGCACATTTCATTACTGTTGCATATTTAAGCCATCTGTTGTTTTGTTTCTTTTTTTGGATTGGGGTGTTGCTGAAAATATACCGAAGCATCAAAGACATCTAATAAAAAGTATAATTACCTTGAATATCTTTTAGAATTGGCAGTGTAATGGATGCAAGTATCTTAGGTGTTGCAAGTGGGTGTTACCAATATTTTTTTGTATAATAAAATAGTTTAATATTAAAGGACAACTGTTACCGCAAAACCATATTTTTTATATAATAATCCTTTCATCAAGTTTTGAAAGGAAGTAGATAAAAAAAAAAAATGAAGTATATGTAAAAGAAAAAAATGAATAAAAATGTATTCAGTCATATACATACACTTTGGGTCAGACAGTGTTTGAAAACCGAGCTTGGGCAGGGAGTGAAGCAAGGAAGATCATGGAGACCAACAGGGTTATTCACTAAACATCGGATTTTGTCAGAATGGACAAAACCCGGTGAAAATGTCCAAATTCCGACCGCAATTCCCAGACTTCTTGAAATTCAAGAACTCACTCTTCATTTGCTGCCTGATATATCCCACACCTTGACAGG